TACCAGATACAGAGTTTAAAACACTGGTTATAAGGATGCTAAATGAATTTAGGGGAAGAGTATATGAACTTAGAACTTCAACAAAGAGAAATGAAACATAACAGAACTAGAAAACATAAAAAAGAAACAGTGAAAACTGAAGAATACATTAACTAAAATGAAGAACGTTACATTATAGAAAATCAACTGTGGAATAGATAAAGCAGAGGATCAAACCAGAGATCTGGAAGTTAAGGAAGCAGAAAACACCTAATCAGAACGGCTAAAAGAAAAAGAATCCAAAAAATGAAAACAGTATAAGGAATCTCTGGGACAACCTCATGAGTACCAATATTTGCATCTTGGGGGTGTGAGAAGGAGAAAAGAGAGCAAAAAAATGAAAACCTATGTGGAAAAAATAACAACAGAAAACTTCCCTAACCTCATGAAGGAAATAGATATACAAGTCCAGGAAGTGCATATAGTTCCAAACAAGATGAGCCCAAAGAGGCCCACACCCAAGACATAATTAAAATGCCAAAGTTTAAAGACAAAGAGCCTTAAAAGCAGCAAGACAAAAGCAATTCGTTACCTACAAGGGAGCTCCTATAAACTGTCAGCTGATTCCTCAACAGAAACTTTGTGGGCCAGAAGGGATTGGCAAGAAGTATCAAAGTGATGAAAAATGAGGACCTACAACCAAGATTACTCTACCCAGCAAAGCTGTAACAGGGTGCAGCCAAGAGGGGAGCCTCAAATAGGGATCAATAATAAGATCCCGAAGAGCCTGGAGATAATTGGCTCCACACCACAGGGCCACACCTACCCAGAATCTGGCAGCTGTAGCCAATTGTGAGAGGAGCCAGAAATGGGGATTCAGAGGAAGATTGGCGCTGGGATTTAAACCGAGACGCGGCAGTCACTGGAGGGGGGGAGAACCATGCGCAGCCCTGCAAGAGAGAACCACACAGCTTTAGCAGAGTGAAGACTCTTCGAGGCCCTGAGGGAGAGAACCACACGGCTCTGGCAGAGTGGGGACTCCCGTGGTACGGGGAGAGAGGACCATGTGCCTTTGCCAGAGTAGGGACACCCCACAGCTTTAGGAGATACGGTACTCTGGGCTGGGCAAAGGGGGAAGGAAGGAAGGACTGTGTCTGTTTGTGGGTGTTTTAAGGGACTTTAGGATTTTTGGTGAAGACATTAGGTCCCTACTTTAAGTTTGTATAGCATTAAATAAACATTTCCTTTCCTTTTCACGAATCTCTGGCATTGAGAGACATCTTTCCTCTGGCGGCGGATATAACGGACCTGAGGGCTACTTTATATCATCCCAGGCCCCCCTTGTTTGTTCTGTAACAAAGCTATTATTCAGAATTGAAGGACTAATAAAGTGTTTTTCAAACAAGAAAAAGCTAAAGGGGTTCATCATCACCAAACCAGTATTATATGAAATGTTAAACGGTCTTTTTTAGGAAGGAAAAGAAGATAAATATGAACAAAAAATGGCAACAAATATATATCAACAAATGAATCTAAAAAACAAAATGAACAAGGCAGAATAGAAACAGACTCATAGATACAGAGGACATTTTGATGGCTGCCAGATAGGAGGAGTGTTGGAAGGGCTAGATGAAAAAGGTGAAGGGACTGCAAAGTACAAATTGGTTGTTACAGGACAGTCATAGGGATGTAAAATATAGCATAGGAAATATAGTCAATAATACTCCAATAACTATGGATGAGTGCAAAATTTATCAGGATGATCCCTTAGTAAGTTATATAGTGTTTAATCAATGGGCTGTACACCTGAAACTAACATATACCAACTGTAATTGAAAAATAAAAAATAATTTAAGGTAAAAATTATTATTCATAAATTTTACTATGTTCTGCAAACACAAATTGCACATCTCTCTTAAGGTCAGGGACTTCTTACACTCCTGTCATTCTGTCATTCCCCTCCACCCCAATTCTGGCCTCTTCCCCAAACACAGCTCTAAGCCTTGCCAATAACTGGCACTTAGTAAACAACTGTTAACAGAATAAAAGCACCATTCCTAAAAGGTCACACTAAGATTTTAGGTAAAGAATCATTCCATTTATTATTCAACAATAACTACACTAAGGCCAATACTCCATGAAAGCTTTTAATTATTTGATTTGTATCAATTTTTACTCATCTTGTTCAAACTAACTTCTAGTCATCATTGCAATATCCGCATTACATGTCCTTCCTTTATGCTTCCTAAGCACTTGTGCATATAATTTGTGAGGGTCCAAACCACACTGTCTGGAAAATTGATTATTGCTCTGACTAGGCTGCTAACCCTTCAAAGGCAAACATGTGTTTTATGCATTTCTGTCTCTGAGAAGGCACATTACTTGGCTTAGTATCTGTCTGCTAAAGGGAATCAACTCTGGGCATTAGGGTAACAGTTCTTACAGTTGTTCTGACAGAACATTACTTTAAAGTCATGATTTATTTTAGAGCCACTATTTGATTCTGATATAAATCCAAAATATCTTTTTTTACTGGAAACATTTTTTATGTACTTTTAAAAAATATATTTTATTGACTATGCTATCACAGTTGTCCCATTTTTCTCCCTTTATTCCCCTCTGCCCTATATATCCCCTTCTAGCTGGATTTGCCCCTCCCTTACTTCATGTCCATGGGCCGTACTTGTAAGTTCTTTGGCTTCTACATTTCCTATAATATTCTTAACCCCCCCCTCCATCTATTTTCTAACTACCACTTATACTACTTATTCCCCGTAGCTTTTCCCCCATTTCCTCCCTCCTCTTCCCTGCTGATAACCCTCCAGGTGCTCTCCATTTCTGTGGATTCTATTCCTGTTCTAGTGGTTTAGTTTGTTTTTGCTTTTTTAGGTTTGGCTGTTGATAGTTTTAAGTTTGTTGTCATTTTACTGTTCATATTTTTTATCTTCTTTTTCTTAGATAAGTCCCTTTAACATTTCATATAATAAGGGCTTGGTGATAATGAACTCCTTTAACTTGACCTTGTCTGAGAAGCACTTTATCTGCCCTTTCATTCTAAATGATAGCTTTGCTGGATAGAGTAATCTTGGATGTAGGTCTTTGCCTTTCATGAGTTTGAATGCTTCTTTCCAGCCCCTTCTTGCCTATAAGGTGTCTTTTGAAAAACTAACTGATGACCTTATGGAAATTCCTTTCTAGGTAACCATCTCCTTTCTTCTTGCTGTCGTTAAGATTCTCTCCTTATCTTTAATATTGGGTAACTTGATTATGATGTGCCTTAGTGTGTTCCTCCTTGAGTCCAATTTTTTGGGACTGAGCTTCTTGGGTTTCCTGGAATTCTATTTCCTTCACCAGATTGGGGAATTTCTCCTTCATTACTTTTTCAAATAAGTTTTCAATTTCTTGCTCTTCCTCTTCTCCTTCTGGCATCCCTATGATTCAGCTGTTGGAACATTTAAAGTTTTCCTGGAGGTTCCTAAGTCATTTTTTTGAATTCTTGTTTCTTCATTTGTTCTGGTTGAATGTTTATTTCTTCATTCTGGTTCAAACTGTTGATTCCAGTCCTGGTTTCCTTCCTGTCACTGTTAATTCTCTGTACATTTCCCTGTATTTCACTTTTTGTAGCCTTCACTTTTCATAGCCTTCACTCTTTCCTCTATTTTGTACCCATATTCAACCATTTCTGTGAGCATCCTGATTACCAGTATTTTGAAGTCTGCATCTGATAGGTTGGCTGTCTGTGGTTTAGTTGTATTTTTTCTGGAGTTTTGATCTGTTCTGTCATTTAGGCCACTTTTTTTTGTCTTGATGGGCCTGTTACATAGTAAGGGGCAGAGTCTTAGGTATGCACCAGGGTAGGGCAATCCACAGTGTCTGTGTTATGGTGCCATATGTGGGAGAGGAGTCCATGAGGGAACAATACCGCTTGTTCAGCTTTCGGCTGGCTTTCAGTCACTTCTGCTGCTACCCAGAAGCAAATTGGACCGTCCCAAGTCCTCTCAGTCAAACTTTTTTAAAGTGTTGTTTTGTCTCCACTTCCTCACCTCTGAACTGACTTGGGCTCCTATCGCTCTGCTAAAATAGGACAAATCCTAAGCCACTTTTCTGTCCTCATTTTACTGTCAGAATGTGACTTCAGAAAGCCAAAACAGAACGAAAAACAAAAGTACAGGAAAAAGGGTATCTGACTTGCAGATGCAGGGACCTTTAATAACAGTAAGTTTCTGAATGAGTCATGATCTTGGCAGCACAAATAATACACTACTCTAATGTGCACTGGTTGAAAAGCACTCAGGTTCAGTTCAGAAGGTATCTTACAAAATAAGCCTTTTAAACTATAATTAGTGCTTGAAAATGCTACCTGTTGGCATACATGTATGGAATACATGTATGTAGAAACACTCACCTTGCAAAGAGCAAGATATTTTCTTGAAACACAGCTTTAAAATTTTCATCTAAACTCAAGATTAAACAAACCTGATTGGCAGTCAAGCCAGTATTATAACCCTATATTTAGTGAGACAACATATCCGAATTTAAATCCAGGCTTTTAGACTCAGAGTTAAACTCGATTTTCTAACTTTCAGTTTAGAATATTCAAACATGTTCCAAAAACCAGAGTGCTACCAAGCCACCACTTTACCCTGGTAAAGGGTCAGCCAGACCCTGGAGTGCTTTGCTCCTGACTCTGGACGACGCAGAATGAAAGGGGACCCATGATGAGACCTTCCAGGTTAGAGCTACACTCTTTATTGACTGGGTTTTAATGTCTCTCGTTCTCCCCACTGTCTTCAGGAGACTGGCCTCCCTCCAAACAGCACCCCAGGGGGCACAACGAGCAAATCTAGTGCTTCCCTGAAAGTTCGGGATTGCCACAGGCCATCAAAATCATACCAACCCCCCCCACCCCCCCACCCGCCTCCACCCCCGCTCAAGGATACAAAGGGAGAACATGAAGGCACTCCTCCAGGACTGCGCTGTAAAGACGCCCCCCACCTCACGGCGACCAGAGTCTGGCTCACCAGCATGGGACATGGGCGCGGTGAGGTTCCCGTGACGCTCCTCGTTGTAGATTACCACGGCGGAAGCATTCCTCCGCGCCGCCACCAGCACTTTGTCCTTTAAGGTGCAGCCCCCGCGCGGCACCAGGGCGACCCAAGATGCAGCCTCCCGGCCGCTGGGTCGGGGCACAACGAAGCGCGTGTTGGGTGCGCAGCCCTCACGGTCACCATCCACCACGCGAGGGACGCCCACCAGGCCTAGCGCGCCCTCCTTGGGTGAGCTGTCGCCAAAGCGGCCGCTCTCCGAAACGCTACACGTGGTCCGGTTCGTCTGTTTGTCCCAGTACTCGATGCTCACCACCGCCGAGTACCACTCGAGCGCCCGACCCCAGGCCCCGGGAGCGCACAAGGCAAGCGCCAGCAGCGCCAGGGCGCCGTGGGCCTGGCGGCCAGCTTCCGGCCGCGGCGTCATGGCCGGGCTGCCTAGGAGCGAGACAGCCGGGCCGGACGACTTCCAGAGAGAGAGGAGGCGTCAGAGAAAACTGAGAAGCAACAGTAACCAAATGTTTCCAGCCCAGCGGGAGAAGGGGTAGGCCAGATCGTGGCGACCAGGGCGCAAGCGCACCTGGTGGAATGGAGGGGGCGGAGCGATGTGAAGGGTGTGGCTGCTCACCCTCCCTCTACCCTACATCCTGGTTGGGTGAGTTGGGCTTGGGTTGGAACTTCTAAGGTCAATTGCGCTTGGTTTGGAGCTTCCCTCAGGCCTGTGAAAGTCTGGAGACTTGCAGTACCCCGGTGCTGAGACCCTTGAGACTCTGCGGACGGAGAAGCTGCTACGTATAGCCCACACGATGGCTTTCGCAATGCTGCCTGCCCGGTAGGCAGTGGCCGATGAGGAACTAGAGGACCTCTTTCGTCCTGGAAGCCGGAGGAAGGGGGCGCCAGAGAAACAGGAAGCCTCTTCGTGAAGCGTGGGAGCCAGTTTGTGTAAAATCACTTAACGGATGTTTATGAAGAGTTTACTGTGGCAAAGAACTTGTCTAAAACATTTAAAAATCCAATTTAAAATTATCTGAAGCTGCACACATTTTCCAAATTCTTGTTACCAATTTTGAAATGCTAATTGATTCTTTTTTTTAATTAAGGTTTTGTTTATTTGTTTTTAGAGGGGGAAGCAAGGGAGAAAGAGGAGAGAAACATCAATGTGTGTTGCCTTTTGCGTGCCCCCTACTGGGGACCTGGCCCACAAGCCAGGCATGTGCCCTGACTGGGAATCGAACCTGAGAGCTTCGGTTCGCTCAATCCACTGAGTCACACCAGCCAGGGTGTTAATTGATTCTTGATGGCTTATCTGAAGTATTATACTCACAACTACCCTCTTTATTGTATATTTTATATATAATCTGTAGTTTTGAAATAAGTGCATCAAGTTGTCAACAATCAATCAATCAATCAATCAATAATTCATTTTGAAATAAACTTGCCCTGAATACAAAACCTTACAGCTGCAGGAAAACAAGTTAAGAAAAGCTGTATTCATCTTCCTTCTTTGTACAAGGATCTCAAATGGTTGGAAGTAGATTGTTGCCAATCATATCAGGTGTTTTGTTGGGCCTTACACCCTTTTACATTTCCAGTTGTTATCAATTTTTTGTGGACTGCATTTTATTCTATTTTTTATTTTTTAACAGACAAATCATTTTTTGTTAAATATTTTTATTGGATTGCATTTTAAAACTGTGCTCCAAAATGTAGTCTGGCCCACAAACTGTAAGTATTCCTTGAAATTGGAATCTCCTCTCATTTCCCCATCAAGAAACTAATTTTAAAAGACTGAAAGGATCCCAAGCCTAGAGTAAGGTATTACAGGACAAGGGGCTTGGCCCTGAGTGCGTCTGCCTAGGGCCAGCCGGTAGTTCTTGACTTTGTGTAGCAAAGATTTCACAACAGAAGTCCAGGAGACTAAGAGTGTATGTTTATTAAAGCTGGGAACAGTGAAACAAGTAAGGGCTTACCATAGAAGAACCAACAGGAAAGCCCAGGCTCACTGGGAAGTCAGAGAAATGAGGGCCTTGGGGACAGGTTCAGGGGCTTAGCCTGGGACAAGTTGTTGCTGCCCATTTTTCTCCTGGTTGCAAGTTTTGTGGGGTCTCTTAGAGCTTACGAGATGTGTGCCTGTGGGGGAAGAAGAGAGGGAAGGAAATGGCCTGGGTTGCTCCCTAGAGGAAGCGCACACTTGGGCTGGGTCATTTAGGCTTTTATCTTTCTCTTGCAGGCAGGAGTTCCACTTGCCAAGGAATTTTCTCAGCTTCCTTCTATCCTGTCTCAAAGGAAGATAAAGTATAGCAGTTGCAGCAGGCTAGGGGCAGGTCCTAGGACCCCCCACATTGTATTCCAGTAAGATACATACTTGTAGTTCCCAGAACAAGCCTTGCAGTTTCATGCTATGTTCTCCTTTTCTTTCTTTCTTTCTTTTTTTTTTTTTACTACTTTTTGAAATCTCCTCGCTCTTGTCCTGGAAGACACCAACTTAGTCTTCAAGTTTTAATTCAGAAGTTACTCTTCAGTGAGACCTTTTCTGGTTCTTAAAGGCAAACTTAGGTGTTCTTCCTATTTTCCATGTTGCTTGTGTATGTTATGCTAACATATTAATGTTGTATTAGCAATACTGCTTTCCAATAGTTTTAAGCCTTTTTATAAAACTGAGTATCCTGAGGGCCATGATCCATCTTTGCTGTTTTTATGAGTCTACCTCAGCTAGCAGAGCATCATGTGTCTAATCAATGTGTCTAAAAAGAACAAAATATATCTTTTGACTGTTTCAGAGTCAAGGACTGATGATTGTTAATAGGATTGTAGGTCAGTGAAGTCCAACAGGCTAATAGGAACAAGCCTTACAGCTGTTGAGCCCCAAGGCCCATCCTAGCTTCTTTGTTTTTATTTTCTGTTATCAACTCCAGGCCTCAGATTTGCCAATGACTCAAACCTGTAGGGCTTTTATCCACTATACTAGTTGCCAAGTGCCACTCGCTCTCTTCCCTACTGTCCCAGAAGAAAACCTGACAGGCCTTACACCATTACTCTTACCCTGGAGGTGGGGTAGTGGGGTGAGGCAGATGTCATTATCTTTTCTTTCAATAGTTTTACCATGGAAAATTTCAACTGTTTCCAAAAGTACAGAGACTAGTATAATGAAGCTCTATGGGCTTATAACAGATTCAACAATGATCAACTCTACAGCTAATTTCATTTTTAGTACACACCCAGTGACTTCCACATCCCCCACTGGATTATTTTGAAGGAAATCCCAGACAGTGAGGGGAAGCAAAATTTGCCACTTCAAAAAATATCTTTTTGGGATATTGATTATTTTAAGCTGGTTATTTTTAAGAAACAAAAGGCTTAGAAAGAAACTTTGTTCCTCTCCCATTACCTTCCTAAAGGAATTCTGATAGAAAAACCTGCTTCAGGAAAGAACCTTAGCATACCCACCTTAGCATATAAGAATTAAGTGTGGCAGACATGGAATATCCAAACAAGCTTTTTGTTAGAACCCCCCTATGTCCCATTGTTTCTGAGTGGCCTGGCAAGAATTTGCCCTTTTTCAAATATCTGTGAATTACATACTATCCCTTTGAAATCCCAGACCCATGCCTCCGTCTCTTTCCTCCAGAATGACGAATAATTTCAAATACTGAATGGGTGGGTCCTGAGTTTCATAATTTTTTTTTTATTTTAAAATCATTGTATTGTTTTTTAACAGAGAAATTTATTAGAAAAACTATATATTTGTTTATTTACTTACTTTATATTATGGTTGTCCCAGTTTTCCCCCTAAGTTCTTCCCTGCCCCACTCCCTCCCCTACATTCATTCTCTACCCTGTGTTCATGGCCATGGGTCATTTATACTTGTTCTTTAAGCACTATCCCTTCTTTTCTCCCTTATTCCCCTCTCCACTCCTCTCTGGTCCCTATCATTCTATTCCTTGTTTCCATGCCTCTGGTTCTATTTTGCTTCTTTGTTATGTTCCACTTATAAGTGATATTATACTGTATTTATCTTTTGCTTCCTGCTTTTTTCACTAAGCATAATACTCTCCAGTTCCATCCATGCTGTCCCAAGGAGAGGAGTTCCTTCTTTCTTTCTGCTGCATAGTATACCATTGTGTAAATGTACTACTGTTTTTTTATCTACTCATTTATTGATGGGCACTTAGGCTGTTTCTAGTACTTGGCTATTGTAAATAGTGCTACTATGAACACAGGAGTACATGGGTACTTTTGAATAGATGTTTCAGGATTCTTAGGTTATAATCTCAGCAGTGGAATCGCTTGATCAAAAAGCAGTTCCATCTTTAGGTTTTGGGGGAAATGCCATACTGTTTTCCACAGTGGCCATGACAGTCTGCATTCCCATCAACAGTGCACTAAGGATTCCCTTTCTTCCACATAATCATCAGAACTTGTTTGTTAGTTTGTTAGTGATGGCCATTTTGACAGGTGTGAGGTGGTATCTTCATTGTGGTTTTAATTTCATCTCTCTGATGGCTAGTGATGTTGAGCATTCATTCATATGCCTATGGGCTCTCAACATGTACTTGGAGAAGTGTCTGTTCAGGTCCTTTGCCCATTTTTTAATTGAATTGTCTGTCTTCCTGGTGTGAAGTCATGTATGTTCTATATATATTTTTGAGATCAAATCCTTATCCGAAGTATCCTTGGCAAATATTTTTTCCCATATGGTTGGTTCCCTTTTAATTTTACTGCTGTTTTCTTTCTTTTTTTTATCTGTGCAGAAACTTTTTAGTTAGATGTGTTCCCATTTGTTGATTCTTTCCTTTATTTCCTTGCCCTAGGGGATGTATGAATGAAAATATTGCTGCTTGGGATATCTGAAATTTTCCTGCTTATGTTTTCCTCTAGGTCTTTAAGGTGTTGCAGTTTATATGTAACTCTTTTATCTGTTTTGAGTTTATTCTGGTGCATGGTATAAGTTGGTGGTCTACTTTTTTTGCTGGTATCATTCCAGATCTCCCAGCACCATTTGTTGAAGAGGCTATTTTTACTCAATTTTATGTTCCTGCCCCCTTTGTCAAATATTAATTGACCACAGAGACATGGATTTATGTCTAGGTTCTCTATTCTGTACCATTAATCTATGTGTCTGTTCTTATGCCAGTACCAGACTATTTTGATTACAGTGGCCTTGTAGTATAATTCGATATCAGGTATTGTGATCCCTCCTACTTGATCTTCTTTCTCAAAATTGCTTAGGCTACTCTGGGTCATTTTTGGTTCCATATAAAATTTTGAAATGTTTGTTCTAAATATGTGAAATATGTCACTGATGTTTTGGTAGGGATTGTGTTGAATCTATATGCTGCTTTGGGTAGTTATGGACATTTTAATGATGTTGATTTTTCCAATCCATGAACATGTTACAGGCTTCCCTTTATGTGTGTTTTCCTTAATTTCTTTCTTCAGTGTTCTGTAGTTTCCCAAGTACAGGTATTTTGCCTCCTTGGTTAAGTTTATCCTTAGGTACTTTATTTTTCTTGCTGCTATAGTAAATGGGATTTTCCTCCTAATTTCCATTTCTGATATTTCATTGTAGGCATACAAAAATGCCTTGGGCCCTGGCTGGTGTAGCCCAGTGAATTGAGTGCGGGCCTGCAAACCAAAGGGTTGCCAGTTTGATTCCCAGTCAGGACACATGCCTGGGTTGTGGGCCAGTTCCCTGGCAGGTGGTACATGAGAGGCAACCACACATTGATGTTTCTCTCCTCTTTCTCCTTCCCTTTCCCTCTCTCTAAAAAATGAATAAATAAGGTCTTTTAAAAAATGCCTTCAATTTCTGAATATT